GTGTAAAATAAACATACTTATACTCTAGAAGACAAAGTATTTTTCACAAATAAATATTTAATAAAAATATTATTAAAAAGGAAGTAAACACTGTAACCAACAGGGCACTCAGTATTCTGGGAAGTTTGTGTGCATTGGGAATCATATTTTTTCAAATAAAGCCAAGGTAACACTCATTTTACATACAGCACACAGTGAAAATGACATGAATATGACAGTGGGCAAATGCATAAAGCGCATAATTTGAAATCACTTAACTTAGTTTAAAGTTTGTCGATCGCGCGTCTCCAGTGAAGCTGAACTCTCCTCCTGTCTGTATTCAATTCGCACGGACCATAGGACCGACCGCCACAGAACACGCGATCATGCAGGTCACATGCACACTTCACAAGATCTCAACTAGATTCGACTAATTCTGCAAGGTTTGTGAAATTAAATGTTCATTACATTCAAAGATTTTTTAAATTATATAAGTGCGTATTTGCGGAATGCTGATGGCAAACGAAAAAGTATTATAATGTTTGCCTTTAATAATATTAAAGCAATCGTTATAATAAATTTTTGTATACATTTTAATTACTTTGTTTAACAGTTCTATCTGATTATTAGATAGACTTCTATCCGTATTAGACAGAACTGAATGACAACAGCGAACAAGAGGGAGAATGTGAGCACTGTGTGCTCAGGCACTGCCGCAGCCGTTCTCGGCGCCGTCAAAATAAAAGTCGAACACATCGGCCAAACAGAAAATCTTATCGGCTGATGCCGATATTTGAAAAATGGCAGATATCGGCCGATGTATCGGCCTTGGTGATATATCCGTCGACCACTATTTACGAATCATTTAGAAATGAGGTAAAATTAAATCTATTTTTTGAGAAAACTAACGTGTTTTTTGACCTTGCATGCATGTAAACCTGTTTTAGGAGACTCATAAAACAATATTAGCAGCATTAAAAATGGCATAATAGGGACACTTTAAATATTGATATACTGTACCTTGGGCTTGGTAAGATTTTTTTTTAAAGAAGTTTCTAATGCTCACCAAGTCTGCATTTATTGCATCAAAGATACAGTAAAACGTAATATTGTAAAATATTACAACTTCAAAATAACTGTTTTCTATTAATGTAATTTATTCATGTGATGGCGAATCTGAATTTTCAGCAGTCTTCAGTGTCACATGATCCTTCAGAAATCATTCTAATATACTGATTTGCTGTTTAAGAAACATTTCTTATGATCAAAGTTGAAAACAGTTGTGCTGCCTAATAATTTTGTGGAAACAGTGTTACATTTTTGTGAGGATTCTTTAATGAATAGATGGTTAAAAAGAATAGCATGTATTCAAAATAGATTTAAAACAATGTAAAAGACTTGACTGTCAATTATAATCAATTTAATGCATCCTTGTTGAATAAAAATGAATTACTTTAAAAAAAACAAACGTTTTAACAGTAGTGTATTATATGCAAAGTGTGTAGCATATATTTGCATTATATCAGCCATCCTGCTTTCTAGATATTAGCTTTGATTTAAAAACTACAGTGTATATTGGTTCACCAGTAGTAATATAATATATATTTTAAATAGTATTTGACATTGCTTGAAGTTAAAGAAACATCTCTATACTGTCACCCTAAAAAAGCAACTTTATATATGCATTCAAAATATTTTTCATAAGGCTCTATTGATACTTCTATGAAAGACTAAGTACATATTTTCTTTCACAGGCACCTCCTACACCACTGCTTCCAGGCTCTGATGGACCACGGTGTAAAGGTCGCTTCAGTCCTGGCCAACTCTTTCAGCCGCCGATGTTCATACATCGCAGAGTCAGATGCGCATGTGAAAGAGAAAGCTATACAGTTTGGCTTTGTTTTAGGTATGACTGATGTGGCTCACTTTTCTGCTTTTTCAGCTTGTATTAACAAGCTGTTGCAATAATACTTTGCTTGGATATCAGGTGGCTTTTTATCAGATGCCGGCTGGTATGGAGATGCAGAGAAAGTCTTCCTGTCTTGCCTCCAGCTGTGCACATTACACGATGAGGTTCTTCACTGGTATCGTGCAGTGGAGTGTTGTGTGAGGTGAGTGAATGGTCAGATTGAGTCTCTTCTAGCTCTAAATGGTCATATTAACGGTGAAATTGTATTAGTATCTTATTAATGTGTTATTGTGGAATTTGTATGCCAGGTTACTTCATGTGCGTAATGGCAACTGCAAATACCACCTGGGAGAAGAAACTTTCAAACTGGCCCAGTCTTATATGGACAAACTAGCCAAACATGGCCATCAGGCTAATAAGGCTGCCCTGTATGGAGAACTGTGTGCCCTACTCTTTGCCAAAAGCCACTATGATGAGGTAAGTCCCATAGCAAATATCCCAGAAGTCTGTTTGAAGAATGGCTGCTCTACAGCTTAATGTGTTTCAGGCTTATAGGTGGTGTATAGAGGCTATGAGGGAGATCACCGTTGGCTTACCTGTGAAAGTAGTAGTTGATGTTCTCAGACAAGCCTCTAAGGTCAGTGATTGTTAGATATTTGAGTTTTTATAAATACATGTGAACTTCTTTTCCATTAAATAATGAATATTGATCCCTGTAGGCATGTGTTGTTAAGCGGGAGTTTAGGAAAGCTGAACAACTGATAAAACATGCGGTCTTCTTGGCACGGTAAGCACTATCAAGCGTATTTATTTTTTAAGCATGTGTGGTGTTGAAATGTTGTTCTGTTTGGCAGCAATGAAATGCCTATGTATTTCCACATTTTGTTTTCAGGGAACATTTTGGGCACAAGCACCCAAAATACTCAGATACACTACTAGATTATGGATTTTACCTTTTAAATGTGGATAATATCTGTCAATCAGTGGCCATTTACCAGGTGAGCCAAGAATTTCAAAAAGTATAAATAAAGGATTTTCTCATTCTTTGAAAGATTATTTGTGATTTACTTGTTATTGTTGTGTTTTACCTTCAGACTGCACTAGATATTCGGCAGTCAGTGTTTGGAGGAAAGAATATTCATGTTGCAACTGCACATGAGGACCTGGCGTATTCGTCCTACGTCCATCAGTACAGCTCTGGTAAATTCGACAATGCACTGTGAGTATCTCAATCCCGTCCTGGGCACATTAGTTACAGAGAAATAATTATTTTATATCATTTTGAACCATAATTGCATCTGTGTCAGGTGGGTAAATGGACAGTGCAAGTGTTTCGTGCACCACTATTCTTACACTCTAAATCATAAAGAGCATATCAATTGCAGATGATGATTGATGGACAGATGACTCTCATGAGCTGGTTCTTTAAAAGAATCATCCAAAAAACTTGTTATCCGTTTGAATCATTCAAAATGAATCCTTCACTGAATGAACAGAATCGATCGGAGTGCATTTTGCTTCTTAATCATTTATTTGACCACAATTCCTTGATTTATGTCCGTTTTGAAATGAAGCTAGACCTGTTTTGTGTGTCAGACAGATATCAACAGTATCATTATTAACTGGTGGTTCATGTGACCATAAGTAATTGAAGTGTATTTTTTAAAGTAATGACATTTAAATTTTAATAAACAATATGAAGCTATAAAATATAAGCCAAAATACAAAAAAGTAACCAAAGTGATAGCGATTTTTGTAATTTTGTAATCTTTTGTGGGACTCTGCTGCAAAAACAGAATTCGTTAGGCAGCATTGAACAATACGTAATAGGTCAGAGGCAAAATAGCATTGCTGTTTTTATGAAAGAAGACAAACATCCTTATTAGATCACCATGAAAATATGAATAATTGAATTGGTGTTGTGAGTCACTTCTTCAAAAGCAAGCTGCCACATTGCTCTATACATACCAAGACAAAACAGTATTTTGGTTGCAACTAATCCCATATGAACTTTCATACCATTTTATTTGTCCCTTGAGTGTTATGAAGTCCATGACACAGATGACCAGTAGTTGCCCTAAACTTTAACACAATTATGATGTTCTTGTAGAACTGCTTTGTCCTCTGTGGTTTTTTTTTTGATCTGCTCAAGAAACATTTCTAATTATTGTCAGTGTTGTGCTGCTTAATATTTTTGTGTAAACAGTAATATATTTTTACTGACCCAAAACGTTTGAGCAGTAATGCTTGTGCTTTATCTTCAAATGTAGAATCATGTTCTTAACCTAAACATAACCACATGTCTGTTGTTTCCTTCAGGCAAGAAACTGTTCGGGGAGGGTTACAGTGGACTGGAATATGACTACAGAGGCCTGATAAAATTGTACAACTCAGTTGGAAACTACGAGAAGGTCTTTGAGTACCACAATATTCTGTCCAACTGGAACCGTTTAAGGGACAGGCAGTTTGCGGTAGCCGATGCGCTGGAGGACGTCAACACGAGACCCCAGGCCACGGAGCAGGTGGTGCAGTCTTTCCTGCTTTCCCAGAGCCACGGAGCCGGGCGTCCCTGCTTGGGCTAACGGCCGGGAAGCCCACCTGAAACCTAGATGTGCACACCCACCCCCATTTCACACCCTCACATCCAGTTATTCACAAGTAGTCCAGAAGGGCGGGGAGTGTGATTATTATCCTGAGCTTCTCAAGGACCGTCAGTTCACTTGTACCAGCAACTCCCCAAGCCCATTTCCTTAAAATGGGAGAAAAACCATGACATCTTTGCGACCCTGCTAACACTCATGATGGATAAGCAACCATTCATCGAATTCATTCACTCTCCTTTGAAGAACCCGACCATTTCTCTGAGTTCAAGAGGAGTTGAATAAAAAAAACAGTGCAGTCCGACAAAGACAGAAAACTTCCACACCCTCTATTCTTTTTTTATTTTAGTTTGTATTTGAAGGAGAGTCGCTCCACACTACAGGAATACTTTGTTTATCACCACATTGTCTATTTGTGGAGAAAATTGCTCAGCGCAGCTCCCACAGAACGAGATTCGAAATCGTTCATATAACCGAGTGAAGGAACATCCGTAGACGTCCGTGTCCCCATTAACACGAGGATTAGAGCTTGACTTCATGTAATGCAAAGCTTTGCATTTGAGGATTACCCGTGTGCTCTCTGGAAAATAAGACCAGCCATGTTACGTTATGGACCATTGTTTATTTTTGCTTCTTTTTTTATTAATAATTCATGTCACGTGTGGAATTTACGGACCAGTGAGTTTATGTTTGCTCTAGATACCTTGTTTTAAGTTCTCTTCTGGTTTTGTATTCCCTTAGTACTGACATAGCTTATTTTAAACTGCCAATAATTTATATGCAAGGTATGCTACAACTTGTAGGTGTAACGTTGCAAACGGATGAGCCAAAATGACTTCTGTTCATAATAATAATACATACGTGTGCGACCACAGCTAATTGCCATAATATGAACTAAACCGAGTGGGAGGACGAGTTCACAAAGCTGGCTTTCTGGCATAGCGGAGCCTTATTCACGCACGATATAAGCTGAAGCGGTGATAGTTACGAGACCGGGTTTCCCAGGTCGTTGTTGTTTTCCTTTCAGAGCTCGGCCCCGGGCGGCGTAGATTAACACCCCTGGCCCACTGCCAGCTGACTAGACACACAGAGAAAAGGACTGAGCGCAGCACCTGTCATTGTGAAGAGGCTCCCCTGCTGGGGAACCTGCGGTATAGTGCACAGGGGGTGTGAATCCACGCACGATTGTGTAGTAACAGTGCAATATTTGCTGAACGCACCTGTACCACTCCAAAACCAATCAGTCTGACTCATTTCACTGCCACTCCTCTCTCGATCCATATTTAAAAGCCACACAGACTCCCAACAAAGTTGACAGGAAGAACATTTAAAGTTTGAATGAGGGCCGTTCAGATTAAATTGCCATCCTTTTGTCACACCTTCATAAAGAACTCATTGCTGAAACAAAGCCTTGCCAGTCATGTAGAATGTGCTTTTAGTGTCTCGCCACATTTTAGCTTCTAGCCAGCAGCACCAGGACCCCAGATCGAGCTGAAGTCCCAGCCTTAGTCTTAAAGGACTCTCAGCTGGCTGGGAAATGCTTTGTCAGCTTTTTTTTTTTTTAAGTAGCTTGCTTCGAACGAAACCTCCACCTTTAGCCCCGTAAACAGAGCAAGAGATGGCTTGGGACAGGTGAGGGACTATATTTCGCACATTTTGACTCCTTAAAAATCCCTTTATTGTTATGTTTGAGGTTTTATTGTGAAGAATGAGGTGGTCTTAAAAAGGAAAGTCCACCTAAAATGAAAATTCTGTCGTAATTTGCTCACCCTCATGTCATTCCAAACCTGTATGCATTTCTTTCTTCTGTGGGACATACAAGAAGATATTTTGAAGAATGTTAACCAAACCGTTTTAATTTCCATTGACTTCCACTGTATGGACAAAAATACAATGGAAGTAAATTTTAACTGGAAAAATCTTCTTCAAAGTATCTTCTTTTATGTTTCACAGAGGAACTAAAGTCATACAGGTTTGGAAAAACATGAGCTTGAGTAAATTATAGAATATTCATTTTTGGGTGGACTATTCCTTTAATACCATACTTGAGGCAGCAAGGTAAGGACAGGAATTTGCCTTGGTTAGAGAGATGGAATATTGTAACAAATAAACTGTGATCTTGCAAACTTTGTAAGTGCATTTCCATTGACTATGTGCTATAAATGGACTGAATTAGTGGAGTTCTCATATCAGATGATGAGTTTAGGAATATGAACATCAAATGTGAAAATTAATGCACATGGGAAACAAGTAAGCTTGGTGGATGGATGCTGAATGAATTTATAACGTAGCTCTGATTGCTTCCTTCTGAATGTCGATTCAAGGGCTTATTTGTCAACCTCAAGTGGTATTTCATGGTTAGAAAGATGGTTGATCACTGTTGATCAAATCCAAACTGCTTCATCTGAATAGGCCACAGTTCCCCAAAAATCAAAGGTGCTTCTGGGTCAAACGTTCTCTATTTTTGCATGTTTAAGTAAATGTATATAGATGTAGATGCATAGCTACAAGTGGTTATTGTCCCAGTGAGCTCCATAGTGACAGAAACATTTTTTTTTACACTGAGCAGTTAATGTCCATGAAATTAGAGAGAGAGAAAAAAAAAAGAATGAACTTGGTGACTCTGAAGTGTTAAACTGATCACAGAAATTAATAAATAGCATCCTCTGACAATAAAAGCAATCCTGTCACTTCCAACTTTTCTTCAAAACCTGCCCTCAGAGAGTTGGAGAATGTAATTAAGGGTTGATCGCTGATACAGTGGGGCCTTTTATATGCTAATTATCTTTATGAAGTCCTCAGACATGCTGCCACGTGTAGATTGTGATTTAGCCAAAGTGCTGTTTCAGATGGACGATGGCGATCTTTGAAGTAACAACCAACGAGTGGACATGATCTCTTAGGACTTTCTTTTGTCTATATTCATTGGAGTCACTCTAGAAGAGTTTTTGATCAAATCCAATGACGAAGAGGAAAATTGTGTTTAACATTGATACTGACTGTTACTCTGGAAATGTCAGTAACCTGTGCCACAGTGAGCCTCTGCTTGGATACTCTTCAGTCATTGGCTTTATGTAACTCACCCTCAGTAGAGTCTGCTGTACATTGTACATCTGTAACCACCAAATCATTATTAAACTCATTTGTATCCACTAGTGAAAATCTGTAACTATTTCTAACACAAAAAAACCCCCCGCTGTTTAATGGACTACAACGAGCAATATTGCTTCTGAAGTATTAAAGCTGCTTTATTTTTTGCCTTTACAGGATTATTCTCCACCTGTTCCTGAAGGCAGTGTGATATGTTGAGTCTATGAGTTGAATGAATGCGACAGGATCCTACAAAAACCACTCTTTTGGATGGATTGGTGACTGAACAAAAAAACTAATAAAAGACTGTACTCTGCATGTGTACGTCTGGAAGATATTTACTCACTTTTTCACTATAGTCATAATGACCAGATATTTCATTTTTTTTTAAATCCCAAATTACTGTGTCCTTGAAATTTTAATGTAATTCATTATACACTGTTCAGTTTTTATTTTAAGTAATACTTTTATTCAGCAAGGATGCATTAAATTGATAAAGTGACAGTAAAGACATTTATAATCTTACAAAAGAATTATACTTCAAATGAATACCTTTTATTTGCACAGCTATTGATTATTTTTTACATTTATGCATTTACCAGATGCTCGCATTGCATTTCTAGGCACATTTTATCAGTTCATGCATTTCCTGAGAATCAGACTCATGACCTTACGGTTACTAGTGCCATACATTACGTTTTGAACTGCAGAAACAATAAATACAAAATAAAACACATGAAGTGCAAGTTTTGCATCAAGAAAATCTAAAAAAAAAACAACAACAATGCAACTGTTACAGTGCAAAAAGCCTCCTTTCCTAAAAACTACATTTAAGGACTCTAGCATATACATATAGCCACAGTCCTTAAATGCAGTGTTAAGGAAAGGAAGCTTTTTTTTTTAGGGTTTTCAAGAAAATATAAACAGATCCCTGCAACATTACTCCCTGGTAAACGTTTTTTTCTTTTCCATAAACAACATTCAACAAGCCCAGTAACAGAGATAGTGTTTCAGCTGTTTATTAGACCAGAAGCCTCATAAAATATGAATTTCAATCTGAAACCCTTACTACATCCCGAATGAGCCTTTAGAGATCCCAGTTCTTCTTTTCTTCCTCTTCATCCAATAAGAATCTCAAATGGGTTACGATGCACCACATCTGCAAAATGACATTAACAGTAGGATTTACACATAAATGCCTTTGTGACAGTAAAAGCACACTAATAATGCTGAGTAAACATGCTCCTCACCGCAACTCCTAAATGGGGTTTATAAATTACATCTGTGAAACGTTCCTCTACCTTGGGTTAAAAGTGGGGTTTAGAATGATGATGGATTTAAGTGCAATGTGAAAAGACGTACATTGCCTTTTAGGTTTAGGCTTTCAAACATTTTATGGTTTAAAAAAAAAAATTACTTGTTGCCATACCTTTTGCCATCACTGCATGCACTCAAACCAGGCTCTCCGTGAACGAGTTCTTCCATTGGGCACCTCTGGCATTGTGGTTGCACACAAATACACACCACTCCATTGAAGACACCAGCCAGCCCCACTTCACAAGCACAGAGAGCAAAGTCATTCAAACTAATACAAATATGTTTGGGACAAGCATACGTACATACCTCTGCTGTCTGAAGATACATCATAAAGCATGTTCCAGAGCATGCCACGTCCTACATTGTCAATGACCACATCCAGCCACGCTCCGAACCTGGAGGTCTGCTGCAGCCGACGGGCCGCCCAGCCATCCACCCCTGGCGCAAAAATAAAATAATAAAACAATAAATGTGACTACTAACATTCTTTAAATATACTTAAACTAATAAGTGAACAAGTAAAAGGTTGTCAAAACTCAGCAGTGCACAAGAACCTTCTGGTTTTCCTCCAGAGTAAGAACTATGATGCAAGTTACGGTCACGTTGCTTACTGTGAGGAACAAGAAACGAAGGATAATCTCAAACAACAGTCTTTAATAAACATCCAAGGGGAAACACGTAGCACAACTAGACGTTTAACAGGGGAACATAGGGCAAACAACACTTTAAATACAGGACTAAAGGAGGGTAATTGACAAGACACACCTGAACCAATTGACTAATCAACAAGAGGGAGAAACTGGGTCACGGGGAGCACATGGGGACAGAAAACATAACAAAACAGGAGCACCAGTCTGACAGTTAGATTCTGCACTTACATATTTTTAGCAGAATATATTATGTAAATAATAATTAAGGAAGTAAAGTTTTATTTATGTAGCATAGAAGAGAGTAAAAATATAACTAAAATGATATAAAAATGCATAAAAAATAAACAAAACTAAAATAATAATTATTAATTTTAGTTGCTTATATAATGTATTACTGTGTCATATTTCATTATAAATATCATGTAATTTATTCTAAATCATTTTAAGACATTTTGTGGCCCTCTTGGAAGTTTAGTGAGGCCCCCTAGTGTTTCTGGCCCTTGTTAAGCAGCCTTTGTCCATGCTGATATTATAGTATATTATTATAGCATAATAATAGTATAATAATATCCGATTTAAAAATAAAGGTTCCAAAAGGGGGTTTTCAAAGCGATGCCATAGAAGATCTGTTTTGGATTCCTCAAAGAGCCTTTTAATGAACAGTTTTAATTTTTATTTTATTTATTTATTATTGTGAAGAACCTTTGACTAATAATAGAATCTTTTGTGCAATGGAAAGGTTCCATGGATGTTAAAGGTTTCTCATGGACCTATATGCAATTATAGAACCATTATTTTTAAGAGTGCATGTATTTACAATTTCCCTAGCTTTCATGTAATTACCTACCATCCAATATAATTGATAACACATACAAGGGCACAAAACTCCCTGGGTCACTATACAGAATCCAGGCAATGAGAACTAGAAGAATCCGGATATAACCTATAAAAACAAACATTTTACATTACAAATAGCATCATACCATAATTAGAGTGCATTAAATATAGGCGTAAATGTAGTTGGAGTGATCTAATATTTTTGATTCTTTAAAACTAATTCTGCTGCTGCAACAAATACACAGATGACACGTAATAATTACTCTGACTCACCAATTACATTGGGTACATAAAACAAGACATGAAATCCCATATCACAGGTGCTCCTCTCTGCTTCTGCAGCCGCCGCGTGTCTATAGTCACCGTCTTCTGTGTCGGAAACTACACGTATCTTATTTAAATGACTTCATATGCGCAGTAGTACCTAATTAAAATGACATTATGATCATAAACATTTATATCACTGCAAAAGTGTTCACTTCTTCTTTATCTGTGACATTTATGATAGGGCAGATAAACAGGACTCTCTTCCGGCTTTATGACAAGTTTTATAAGCGTCATTCGTGTTGCACAGACACTAGATGCCATAGGAGGGCGCTAAAAGATAAGAGTCTGAAAGATTGTATTAATTGGTGAAGCTTAATTAAGATTAATGAAATGCGTATGTGTACAGAAGGGTAAATTTGCATTAGAGACCAGTGTTGTTATTGATTGTTGCTGATACCAAATACTTATACCTATACTTATACCTATACGTTTTCGTTAATTGAAATAAAGCTGAAATAAAGCTGAAGTAAGAAACATAAGAACTAATAAAAATGACAAAAGTACATAACAAAATTACGAAACCTTATACTAGAATTATAATCAAAACGGAAAATATCAAATATAGGCCTACTCAACATAAATGCTACAATAGCACAGTAAAAAAAATGAATAGTAAATAATACTACAATAACGCTAAACATTACGAAAAAGGCATTTCTTAGATCATTACTTGCAAAAAGTTTCTAGGTAACACATTTAAGCAATTTTTAAAACATAAAAATAAACTATATGACTCAAAATGTTTTAAAACACTCAATAGCACATTTGAATTATATTTCGGTGGGTGATCAAATTAATAGAAATAGCTGAGGGCTCCCCAGAGCAAAAAAATGTGCTGCCTCCACACAGTGCACCATGCCAAAAAAATACATTAAATTGACCACCAGGAAAAAGCTATTGGTCTATGAAAGTCATCATTTCATTATTAACCATTTTATTCCCATATACACAATGTCCTTGCAAAGAAAAGAATGGTGTTGTTTCCCTGATGCAACACGGTGCAAATTTACTTTACTTTTACTTTTTACTTTTAGTCATTTAGCAGACGCTTTTATCCAAAGCGACTTACAAATAAGAAAAAGTAATTAAAACTAAAAGCTAAAACTCTATAAATACTATATATATACACACATTTAAGAAAATAAAAGAAATTAAATAAAAATGACAAATGCATACAACAACATTTCAAAACTAAAACATTTAAATGAAAACAAAAAAATAAAGCTAAAAACAATTCAAAAATATTAAAAGAACAAAAGGTATGAGTATAATAATGATTCTAACAACACTAAGCCAAACACCAAAAAACAACTACATATGTGTATGTACAGCCACACACATATAGGCCTACATATACATGTACATATATATAAATACATTAAATATATATATATTATTTCATTTCCATTTTGTATGTTGAAGTACTGAAATAACTCAAATTAAATAAAACTAAAACTTAATAAAAAAAACTATATAGACATAATAAAAAACATATACATGTACATATATATAAATACATTAAATATATATATATATTATTTCATTTCCATTTTGTATGTTGAAGTACTGAAATAACTCAAATTAAATAAAAAACTTAATAAAAAGCCTATATAGACATAATAAAAAACTAATAAAATGACAACATTACTACAACTGTAACTAAAATAGATAACTAATACAAATCAAAGTACATTAGTTCATCAGTAATCCTAAAAAAATAACACTGAGGCAAACACACATGCAAAAAAAACAACAACTTACTGACACATAGTAAGAAATAGTTTATAAAAAACTGAAACAGAAGTGGAAAGAGGAGAGATAAAAAGCGATACTTATGTCTTGGTCTTGGCTAAATTGGTTAAACTGGCTCCTCACAACCACGCCAATATCTAAAAATCTAATATCAAGCACGGAAATTACAGTCGACGGCACAACAGCCACCTCTGGGCGCAAGGCGTCGGTGCTGCGTTTCTTGCGCAAATCAGACGCTAATACGCCCCCTTTGCTCTGATTGGACAAAACTCACGTGATCGAGTATGGAGGCGTCGGCGTTTAGACGCGTCACTCGTTGATAACGCAAAACTCTACCGCTTGACTTGATAGGAACACCACACCGAAAACAAACAAACAACGGAGAACAAGGCAACAGGCACCGGTCACACTCTGCGCATTTCTGCCATTGCCATGAAATGAGGGCACCATGGGCGCCAAGGAGTCACGGATAGGCTTCCTTTCGTATGACGAGGCCGTTAAAAGAGGTAAGAGGTTTGAGCTTCAGCGATTAACGGCGGTCAGTCAGTTACGCGGCAGCGCTAAGCTAGCGTTAGCAGCTAGTTAAGCCTACATATTAACTCTTTCTGTGAGCTAACAAGCCTCAACCTGTCATTGCACAGAGCTGTTATGTGAAGTAGCGGGGGGAAAGGGGCTTGGGGTACGAAGGTGGGGCTGTTTTGACTTGTCTTTGTGTTGTTGGTGTAACGTTAATGTTGCTGTCAGTGACTGCGTCCCAAAACCTAGTGAAGAGTCTACTTAGATTTTTCTGCATCATATTCGCGTTCATAAGAAGCCCAAAATCGCCTCCTGAGAGTGCACATCACACTTGGTTTTGACACACAGCCAGTGTCTAACTAGCAGCCGACTGTAAGTGTAACTAATCTGGGCGGTGCAGGAGCGTCCATACTGACAAACAGCTTTCACTAATCTGTCAACATTTCTCAACACCCCATTGGTATTTATCATGTAACCTATCGCACTTTATCAGCTCACTCTTCCTAAGAAGAGAGTGGAAGTGCTTGTCCTGACACACTGAAATATGATTTTTGCACTTGCTACTGACCAGTGTATTCCCACTCCTTTACCTTTGGTTATTATTAGGACGTTTGGTGTTAAATTTGGGTAATTTTCACTTTCAGAGGGACGTGGATGTTTTTCAATAATGATTAAGTAATTGAGAAATCATTTAAGTCTTGAGATAAGTGATGTTTTTAATAAAGGCCTGCTGACAAATGAATGACAGCTCAATGAGAGTGTCCATAACCAAGGATGTAAACAAATATTTAAAGGGATAGTTTACCCAAAAATGAAAATCTTGTCTTCATTTACTCTTGTTACCTTATTTTATTTTATTCCAAACCTGACTTACTTTCTTCTGTGAAACATAAAAGAAGATATTTCGAGAAATGTCAATATTGTGGAAGTCAGTGGCAATCAAAATTGTCAATGTTCTTCAGAATATCTTCTTTTATGTTACACAGAAGAAAGTCATACAGGTTTTGCATACATTAGGGTCAGTAAATGATGTCAGAATTTCCATTTTTGGAGGGAATTGTGCATTTAATACTGGCGGGAAGCAAGGATACATTTGAGAGTTTGTTATTGAATCTAATTATTAAAGGGAATCCTTGACTGTCTTTGGGGTTACCACCATCACATTTCATTTTAGACAATATTTGAATTTGTTGACACATTAAGGTCCAGCCATGTTTACTGTTTATTGGCACATTTTCATCGGCGATATTTAGTCAACAGGCCCAAATTGTAAATACAGATTTGCCACATTGACCATCAGAAAGCGACTTGGTTTGAAAGTTACTTCTGTGTGAGCTGTGTTTAGTACATGACTATATTATTAACAATAAACCCAATATTAGCCCATGAACAACCCACGTTTAGATTGCAATATAGTGTGTAAATTCATCACTGACATAGCATAAACATTGCATTGGATTTGTTTTCTCAATACCAAGGCGGTATGTCTGGTTTCTGTTTGAGATTGTGTAAGTGAGGGTGTATTTTGAGCATCACATTCTTGGGCTGCATATGCATTGTTTATGTCAGTATACTCTAGAATTTTTCTGGCAGTCACAAGCACATATAGGCGTAACTGCTCCAGTGACCTGACCACAAGTTTGGTTTCAGGTTTCTGTGTATTTATGCTCCAATTTAGATTTCTGAAACTAAAATCTGAATGTCAGTGTTGTCTGATGCTAACAGGCCTTGATGCAGCTGTGTTTATGTGTAGTGATCAGGGTGTTGAGAGCAGATACTGGCACCTGAGATCGAGTGCGTCAGCACTGCTTATCTTTCCACACCTTGATGAATAAGCAGAATTTAGCTGTTGCTTTGCATAGGCGTTATTTGCATCTTTGTTTCTCTTACCAGGAAACCACAGGCCAGGATTTACATTCTGGACAAAACTTATTACAGCTACAGAGGAATTTCTTTGCTTTATGCCTCTCATTGACATAATTGCTGATATAGTGTTTCACAAGCTAAATAGGGTGTCTTTTGAGTCACCTGAGAGTGTTGAAGGGTTAAAAGATTGTGTGATTATTATCATACAGCACTGTGTGTGTGTGTGTGCCTTGATGTGTGCAAGTGTGTGTTGGTGGGGAGAGGGACTTAGCTGGCCCTGAGCCCGTTAGTAGAGGTAGAATTACTCTAATTGTTCCAGCTGCACATACACTGTGGTGGCACATTTATTGCAGCTTTTTGTGCCATGCTGCCCAACAGCCAATGTTGCTGACATCACTTCATCACAATAACATGGTGTTAAGGAGGAATGGCATTCACGTCAGCATTTTATTGTTTTCTTTATTAATGGCTAGTTCTCGATCATGTAGTCGCTTTCCTTAAATCCATCATTGTTTATTATATATTATAAATGATTTAAATGATATTGAGGGCTCCATTAAATTATATAAAATATATCTACTTAAATGCAATAATGTATAAGCAACATATTGGTATGTCTTAGAAATTGGGATTTGTTAAAATAAGCTCCTACTTTCAAGGTGGACCAACTAATGGGTTTTCTGAATGATTTGTCGACTAATCGATCTTAAGGAGTCGCTGTAGAATTAGACTGTATGGTTTTGGTGTCATCTGATTCTGACCATTTTTATTGGGTTGTTTACATTAGTTCTTGCATTTTGAAAGAGCTTGACAGAACAAAAAACAAAAATTGTCAGGGTCATGAGATGCTTTGAAAATGTTTATTAGTGCATGTCACCAAAAATATCTGAAAAAAAATCTAGATAAATTACCTGACCTCAATAATAGTAGGATGATTAGATGACCATCATGACCTGTCCCTACATAGATTTTTTTCATTAAATAATGTCTTTAAAAAAACATTGCATTATGTTTGTAAATTGTAGCTGGAAATTTTATAGCCTTAATGTGACAGCTGGAAATTCATAAACACTTTTTCTGGAAAATGATGATGTAGCAACATCTGATTTTTAATATTCTCAAACAACCCATTCAGACTGTTACTTCTACAACTATCACAAATCATTCTTTCAGTTTCAAAAAATATATTACTTCGATGTCTACCCAGCAGATGTTTAAAACATCACCTAAACCTGAATAGTTAAAAGACATAAAACACATATACATGATCAAAAAGACCTCTTGTCTTCATTTGTTAGTACTCCTACTGTGTCATTCTTGAAAAGGTGTGGAAACATCCATAATGTACTCAGGTTCATTTGAATGTAATATGAGGGTTTCAGTCCAATGCTCATTAGGCCTGTCACAATAACAACTTTTTGTTGCGTGATATATTGCCCCAGAAATAATTGCGATAAGCGATATTATTGTCATATTAAAGACCATTTTATGCCACTGAGTATATAATCATAATGTAACAGCATAATAATGCAAGAAGGCCTACACACTTCCAAATGACAACCAACTTTTAATTTATGTGCGATATATTGCATCACCAAAAATTATTGAGGTCATGTGTATATATATTGCGCGATAAGTCGATATATTGATAATTGCGACAGGCCTAATGCTCATCCGCAAAGGTTTTCAGTGACTTTTCTCCAAGATTGAACATTCAATACTGTTCTGTATTATAAAGGAGCTTCTAGTGTCTCAGCCCTGTCGTCTGTAGCTCCCAGGCGTACGGAGAGCCCAGGCATTCCCCTGTCAGCTTGACTGAGAGAGGCTCCTCTGAGATTCCAGGCCATCGAATCCATCTGAGATAATTAAGTCTCGTCTTCAGGAATTCATGTTTATTTATGCTGCTTACCTATAAGCGTCAGGCGTCTCATTTTCGCTCAGGCCGTCCATGGAGTCCTCTGTCTCGAATGTAAGGTTGCCACCACCTACAGACCTACATTGGAGCGGTTTACTGGGAACTCAAAGTAGGTCATGTTTCTGGGTAGTAGCGCACTGAAATTAGTTTTACTGTAGGATACAGTGTATCCTGCAGGCTTCCATCAGTAACTCAGAGCATTATGGATCTAGCTGTCTCTCCTCTGAGGGGAAGCGCTCTGACTGGACGAGGAAAGGGAAAATCAAAGAGGCTGTGAATGCTTTAGCAGTCTGTTGCTGTGCTATTTCAAAGAGTAGAGCTGTCACTGAATTCCCCAGAGCAAGATGATATTTGCATTTCCTCGTTTCTTTTTCATCACGTTAACATGAACGCCACTGAATGTGTTCCTCCATGTTAGATTGTTTGTTTTTCTTGTTTTTGGATATTATTTTGGAGGCGAGTTTAAATAAACACTAATTCAGTCAAGTGTATAGTAAAGGTAGACACACTGTTATTGGAGAATAATTGAGTCAGTGAATCAGAGGATATAGGTTACTTTTGCCTCACTATAAGTACTGTTGCTCATAAAAAGGAAAACTTTAACTAGCCCTTGTGTATTTTAATCTATCAGTGATCTAATTTTTCCTCCAATCACAGATTTTCCATATTGAGTATTTTATTTTATATGCGTTTATTTTATGTTATTTTATTTATTAAAATTGAATTTTAAAATAATGATATAAATTACAGTAATTATTCTGGAAGTTTAGTTAACGATTCCAATGTTTCATCTCCTTCATGCATGTTTTAATTAGCTGCACTGTTGTCTCCCAAGGGAAACCGTCTCATGGTTTGCAGATATTACTTTGGCACCTTTGGAGAGAGTAATTTGAGAATTGCTTAATAGAATCGGCTTAATTGTCTCTTAATGACCTCAAAAACTGGTCAGGAGTTCTTTGTGCACATGCACAGAAAATATCTGCAGCATTAAGCATTGACAATGTCATCGACTTGTCAGTGGAACATCTGGTGCCATGATTGTGTTTATGAATTTGGGATGTCGTTCGCCTCATCTGATGCTTTTCTCCTACAGAACATTATACAGAATAATCACACGCCCTCCAGGACTATTAAAATGCTTGTGGAGAGCCTGCAGAGATATATTAGTGCGCATCTGCTGACCTGTCGACTTTTAAAACATCTCAGATGCATCGGCCTATTCCACAGACATGTCTGTGCATTCTGTATCACATGAAGAGATAGACACCTCAATGATCAGCCTCACCTTTTGCCCTCAGCAGAGTGTCTTTCTCTATAGATTGTGGCCTGGGAGAATGAATGTCATTTGGGGATTAAAGGCTTTCTCCTGCTTCGTAAGAAAATCAACCTTCCTATAGTCTTGAGGAATTTTTATGACCCTCAGAGCTCTAAACTGTTTTCTCAGGCAGTGTTTTATGGTTCACCCCGTGTTACGGCCAAGAATATGCAGTGTGTTTCCTGTCGTCATATCTTCGCAGGCAGCACAAAATACCCTTTTCTTCCTGGTATTATAAAGACTGTGACATGACTGTTGAGAATATTCTCTGCTTTAGTGGTGGAGTGATATATTGGCAAGACTGATTACTCGGCTGAAATTTGTTTATATTGAGACCAATAACATTACCAGATCTATAAAAAAATGCATAATAGTTTTATAAACAACCCTCTATATTGTGAGTAAATCACTCGCAAATGCGACTAAATCTTACTCTGGGCGACTAAATAATATCTAACATTAGCCATTGGCTAATAAATTCTTAGATTTTGCCTCGCCGTCGCTTTACTGATAGCGCTGTGTTTCTCACACATGCAGAGAGAAAGAGTGAGAGTCTTGCATACCACGCTGAATCGACGCGCTACATGTAAACCATATTCTTTGTTGTGGTTGATAAAATCCAGACTTTTTTTTTTTAGCCTTCAATTCATTTTAAATGGTCCTGCTGTGTATGTCACAATGCAGGACATGTCAACTTTCAAATAGTATTGGATGTCAGCTAGGCCTACCTGTATAGGATGTAAACGGTGTTTCTTTCCATTGACTCATTGGAAGAACCAGTTTAAGTTTGGTGCTTTGGAAAAAAAAGTGGTGAAAATGTGGTGAAGCTTTCTGTGATTTGTTAATATCCTAACTATTTGTCTGTAGTGATTTTAAATAAGTGTCCTCAACATCCTGAGGCAGACAGTTGTATCTCAGAGTAAAAATGCTCTTTTTAACTCCCTTTCAGAAGCCAAGCATTATGTGTATGAATGTGATTCACCATCATATGCATCTCTTCAGATCCTTGAAACAGCTCACGGGCTTCATGTAGCTTTTCAATGAGAGTGTTCTGGCTCAAAGTCTCACTTTTGTGCTGAAATTGTTCTTTAACAAGATTCCCTCTCAGTCGTAATAATTTTCAGTATCACTGAAGTCACATCACAATGACATGCCTACATACGCTGAGCACTGATCAACCAATCAGAATTAAACTTAGACTGAACCTCGTTGCCACACAAGTGAAAAAACAAGGCACAGGTAAACTAAATGAACTCACTGAATCAGTCAGATGCGTTTGTTGAATCAACATCTGACTCAATTAGTGAACCGCTAGTTACAAATACTTTAAGTGTATTTGTAGTTTTGAAATTACGCAAGATTTGTCAAATTTAAAGGCACGATATGTAAGATTTTTTTATTAAAATATCCAGAAACCACTAGAACAGTGTTATACCTAGTATGATAAAACAGCGCTGCTTTTTTTCCCCCACATACGCGCGACCGGAAGGACCGGAAGCGGTCGACTGTGGCATAATAAAAGCATCGCTGCTTTCGGGGCGTGTGTCGCGCTCGTTCAGCGGCCTCGTTTCGCTTCGACGACTTTCAGCCTGGCGAAAATTACATATTGTGCCTTTAAGCCATTATCATTGCTGTTTGTAACAATAACAATGTGAATGTAATAGGGCTGTAGCTATCGATTATTTTAGTAATCGAGTATTCTACAGATTATTCCATCTGGCAAAATAAAGCAAAAACAGGCAATATAGTGTCTGAAACATAAGTCTCATAATATTACCTTCTTGTTTATTGAACTGTTGAATAAAATCACATTTGTAATCATGCTGATTTCTTCGTGTGATATTGACTAACTTTCTTTCTGTGGTATTGTTATGCACAATGGCGTTTAGTCTTTCACAAAACATAGCTAACGTAGGGACATTTCGAGGAATCGTTTCAGTCCTAGTATGTACTAGGGCTGGGCGGTATATCGAGTTTGTACGATATATAGATGTTTTCTTTATAAGCGATTCGATATGAGGCAATACCGTTTATATCGATATACAGTAGTTTACGAAGTCAAACGGCACAAATAAATCAATGTATGGGAAACTGGTAATGTATATCGAAATATCGGAAATGTGTTTAAAAATCATATCACCGTTATTGAAAAAAATTATATCGCGATACATATTGATATTGAATTAGAGGATTTGTTGTGGAGAGAAGGGAATTAAAATAGCCTAATTGTGTTTGTAATTTTGCTTTTATTTACCATTATTTTAGCCTACATTATTTCTGAATGTAATAATAAAATGCAACGTACAGCCTACTAATTTAAGCTGTTTTTTCCTCTCAAAATGAACGCTTATAGGAGTAGCGTTTTTTATCCATGCTGAAACATTTTTAAATATCTTGAAAAAAATTATTTAATGTTTTTATTGCGTTGACAGTTTTTTTTTCTTTTGTTTAATACATTTGGTCTTAAGTAAATCTAGAAAAGATGATGCTGTATTGGCTATGACTAAGAGAGATCATTCAAGACTCTCTTCATGATTTTTTTTTTCTTTTTGAGTAAATTAAACGCTGTGCTTTTTTATTATTATTATTATTATTATTGGTAAAGAAAAAGTTTAAAAAATAATGCTATTAACCAGTATGTTTTCTACTCAAACCAGTTTCACAGAGGAACGCAGGAACAGAAACGTTCAAATACCGATTCTGCTCAGAGTGAACCAAACTTTTTTTTTTCTCGTTTTTAAGCCCTGCTTTATGCAGTTAACCAATATCGGTATCAGAATCGACCAATAGTTGTTTGTTAAAATCGGTATCGTATCCTATCGGTGCATCCCTACAACTGTTTTTACAATGGAGTGGCATTTGTAGCTTTCTTTAGTTGTGGATGTGCTATTTGCTGGATAAATCCAAACATTCTTAAAGGGGTCATATGATGCAATTTCATTTTTTCCTTTCTCTTTAGAGTGTTACAAGCTCTTGGTGCATAAAGAAGATCTGTAAAGTTGCAAAGACTAAAGTCTCAAATCCAAAGAGATATTCTTTATAAAAGTTAAGAGTTAGCCACACCTACCTAAAACGGCTCGTTCGAACACGCCCCCACATATCTACCTAACTGTGTGGGAAGATTTGCATAACGCCGCCCAAATATGTTCTTTTTAGCAGCATCATATGACCCCTTTAAAGCCATGGTTCACCCAAAAATGAAAATTCTGTCATTTACTCGCTCTCATGTTGTTCCAGATCTTTATGAACACAAAAACAAAACATTTTGAAGAGGAATGTTTGTAACCGGACAGTTGCTTGTTGTAGCAGTATTTTTTTTTCCATCTTCAAAAAAATCTTTAAAATATCAGCAGAAAAAATATATTCATGCAGGTTTGGAACAACTTGATTAACCATCCCTGGATGTCTATATTAGTGGTATTTCAAAGTCAAAGTCTGTTCTGTCATAAAGCATTTCTGGAAATATCCCATTTGCAGAGAGCATTGTGTTTACTCTTGGCCCTGACCCTGTTATGGATGGGTCAGATAGAACAGTGCTGTGGTTTATGAGCAGGTCTGTGATGTATTGTGCTAGGCAGTACAAGGCCTGGAGTGGCGTGAAGCAGCAGTGGTCTCCTGTAAGTGTCTGGGTTAAATACAGGCTGCAGAGGCGGTGATGTTTAAAAAGGGATGAGTGTGTGTGTGTGTGTGTGTGTGAGAGAGAGAGAGAGAGAGAGAGAGAGAGAGAGGGATGAAAGAGTACTGGCTGTTGTAATCTTTCTCTGCCATCATAACTCAACATGCTTTGAGCTAGAGGAGAAATGTGCAAAGATGGCAATGACTTTGACTTAAAAGAAATTTGCTCAGCGGCAACCTTTCTCAGGCCTAAGGCCCGCCCCGTTTGCACCAAACATGAATTTTCGGCATGTAAAAACTGCATAACAAATACACTAAATGAAACGATGAACCGCTTGATGCCAATTCGGAAATATCATACTCTTCAAAGTTGTTTCTTTTGAGGACAACAAAGGCTGCGTTTACACTGCAAGTCTTAATGCGCAGATCCGATCTTTTGACCATATCCGATTTTTTGGCACATCTGTTTACATTCACTTTAGACACAACTGCCTGTTTTGTTTTGCTTTTTTATAAAAATTTATATTTTTATTCAGCAAGGATGCATTCAATTGATCAAAATGTTATTCAAATGTATTCAGATAGAAAAGAGATATTTTAAATTGTAACATTTTGTATATCATACATTTACAGTTTTTACTGTATTTTTGATTAAATAAATGCAGTCATGGTGTGCATAAGAGACTTCTTTCGAAACAATTTAAAAAATCCTACCAGCCCCAAGTTTTTGAATGGTAATGTATATAGTCATTTAATAGCCTAATTAAAATGTTTACACACTTTTCAGAGGTTTTATTATTTATTTTATTTTATACAATTCTTTCAGATTATACATTGTTTTTCAGAGAATGAGGAAAATTTAGCATAATTTAATGCCACATGTAAACATGGCATCAAACTTGGTCTGAACAGACCTTTAGACAATAGCTGGGATAAAACTTGAACCTCATTTTGAAGAAATTTTGATTGATAACAATCTCATATCCTATACAGCTTTTTGACAACTTCCTACTGTGTTCACAGTTACCGATGTGGAGCTCAAACGTCTGCGAGATGCCTTCAAGAGGACCAGTGGCCTGTCTGTCTATATGACCCAGCAATGCTTCTACAGGGAAGTACTTGGCGATGGAGTTCCTCCAAAGGTTGCAGAGGTTAGTCAAGCTTTGATAAAGCATAAACATCATCAGAATACCTAAAAGCATCATGATCTCTCTCCAGCCACCCACTGCTTGTTTCAGTGCTGTTTCTTCATGTTTTCTTCAAGTCCCCCTGTAGTCAAACATTTTATTCCTTAAAACTCCTCTTTGATCATCAAAATGGCATATTTAAATGTTTTTTCTTGTGAAAATAATTTTCTCATGTCTTAAAATAGCTTGAATGTAACTCTACACCCTTGCTTCATTTACTATACGCAGGTCTATGAATACGCAAATTAGCCCCGCCTCCACTCAGTCACACAAGCCAGGTCCTCCTGATCCACGGATAATGACTGATAAAACTATGTTTTTACTAGCGGACAACTACAGTGGACACTGTAACAGTCGTTAAAGTTACTTACTTGACAATGTTGTGCCCTCAAAATGCCTTGAAGACTCGAATGCAGCCAAGTTTGTGATTCTTACTTCGCGCCCGCGTGCATACGCGTGTGAAGTGTGGCCGCCAATGCGGGAGAGGTGGGTCTGACTCCGGGCTGCTTTTCCACTGTTGCCGCGGGTTATTATTCAAGTTAGTGGTTCTAAATTCATGATAAACCACGGCTTCATGGGTTTTTTGCACTATTTTATTTTTGGTTTTATGCTGGTAATCCTATTGGAATATTTTGCATGCTATCTCTATGCGTGCCGCGTTTGTATAAATGGAGAGAGGGATATGCTAATGATAGGAATCTATCCCTTGACGTGATTGGTTATTGAATTTTGTGACGTAGCAAACCGAGGGCTGTTTCAAACCGCGTTTCTGGGACTGTCATTGGGAAACTACAGTTTTAAGGAGAAAATACTCAGCAATGGTGTTGATTAATGGATTGGCACATGGTTTGTCTAAAAGCAAATTAAAAACACCACATAGACAAATGAACAACATAAAAAAACTTGATTTTCACTACAGGGGGACTTTAACAGTTCTGTGATTGATTGGTCTGTTCTCCTGCATTATTTTCTGGCAGACTATAAGTAGTTACATATTCATGGATGAATTTAGATTACATTTCGTGCTCAGACTTTATCCTTTAGTATCCAGAGACTACAAAAGACAAAAAATGACACATGATGGTCACAAAAGCTTAGATAAAATTTTACATCATGCAGTTCTCCACTGTTGATTCGGTGTTCTTTGCATGGCTGCTGTTTGACTAAGCTATTTCCCTGTTTGTGTGCAGTTCAGTTTTGCTTTTCTGATGCTTCAAATACCCACAGTCATGTGGTTACCAATTGTAACCCAGAGAAACGCAAACTGAAAGGTGGGGCTTTATGGTAAAACATGCTCACACATTATCGTCTGACATTTAAAGACTTCCCCATGACCTGACCGCTGTAACCGTGAGTTCATGTGGCCTTCTCTACCTGCCTCCTGTAACTTTACAGGCTGTTCTCTGCAAGATGAATCATTCAGAGATCCCCCCTCTATTTCAGCAGAAAACCGTCTGGTCTATACTTCTACTTGTTGTCATAGGAACTAGTATTTGCAGGCCAGCCTGGTTAGTTATTTTCGGGTTGTTTCTGTGTGGCTCTTGGCCAGTTTTATTGTGAATAATGTTTTGGATCAATACTCTAAAAGCGCTTTATGAGGGGGGGCATATCTCTTTGACATTTAGTGTCAATTAAACAAAGTCCTTAAAATCCATGGAGGTCTTTAACAGGACTTGACTCTACAGTTATGAATCTTTCATCAGGTATTTTTATGAACTTTCAGTCATGGCTGCAATCCAATTAAATTCTTTCAGCAGAATAAAGCTGCCACTCACCCAAGAAAAACAGAAAAAGAGAGAGATGTAGTTATGGGGTTATTTTTAGTTCTTTACCCACAACCTTGTACTGTGACAAATCCTGATTCTTGCCAAACACCTTGCAATGCTATTATCAGGTGAATCTTCTGCTAAAATGATTCTTTCTGAGCGTTGCACACCTTCACATCATGTCACTTAGCACTCTGTGCTGATTTCCAGACCATTTGTTGAATCAAAGTTGACATTTTCCTCACATTTTCACCTTGGAGATTCCTTCACCTAGAGCTGCAACATTTCTGAATAAATTGAGAATCACAATTTTTTTTGTCCCACATTCAGTGCAGTCTACCTAAAAAAATCAATTTCATCAAATTATTTTAGGGCTGTAGCTATCGATTATTTTAGTAATCGCGTATTCTACAGATTATTCCATCGAGTAATCGGATAAGATGTCATTTTTCTTTATTAAAGAGCAATACTAAATATACAAGAGATAATAAGATAGATCTCTTAAAATAAACAACTAATTTGTTTTCTTTTTAGAAAAATTAACATTTTTATTGCTGAAATTGCATACATTAATAACCGTGAAAACTAAACCCAGTTAATGTATTTAATTGCCAAATTGCATTCAAAATGCAAATACAAATACAAATATATCAATAAAAAATAAAATAAATAAATAAAAATACAAAAATCTATTTCACATTACTTCAAAAAAAATTAAACAATACAAACTAAAACTAAGGCATAAATAAAAATAATAGTAATAAAAATAATAATAATACCTAAACATTGCATTTATGTCATGCAACGGAACTTTCAAGTTTCAGCCTAACTAAAGCTCAAGCATGACATAAGCCTTTACTGTCTTACTGCATAGACATTTCCTGTCAGCGTGTTATTTGAGCGGACTTTGCTTTTCCGGTGAGCATGAGCGGTACACGAGCGGAACGCACATTCATAGATCGGAATATTGAGCGGAGCGTCAAACCGCGCAGTGAAGAGGAGAGTGAAACATGCACACTGAACACTGCTGGGCGGGGTGCGACGCGGCGCGTCATATAATATTATTATATTATTATTATATGTAGCCTATATTTTCGGTGCATCCCTAGTTACATCCCCTCCTTGTTTACAAATCCAAAGTAAGTCCATACATCTGATTTAAACACGGACGGGGCTTTCCTGATAACTTTCCGCGATGCCGCCCTCTTTATTTTACTAACTTACTGCATGCTGAAGGTGACCCAGCTGACCTCACCAGAAAAAAACTCAACACCACCATCTAGTGGATTGTAAAGAAATTGATTTTATTATTCTACCAAATAGTATAATAAAAGATCGATACTTGGCGTCCGTGTATCGATACAGTATTGCCGTGGAAAATATCGCGATACTATGCTGAATCGATTTTTTCCCCCACCCCTATTCTTTATATACAGTTAGTAAAAGTACCACAATACCAGGAAGGAAAATCGGGTTGTTGATGTTTGTCTGCCATTCTCGCTCTGTCTGCACAGCGTGTGTGAACACGCTGATGACGTATCGTGTCTGCACGAACAGGGTGCGCAGAGGTATGCAAATACATACGTTGACAGGCAGGTAGGAAAGCCAATTAAAACGCTCTGTCCGAAACGCTTAATCATTTTTTTAAATGACGTCGATTCGATATCGATTCTCAAAAGCAGCGAATCGATCTTTTCCAGTATTTATTTCAGCAAACATTTAACACAAGATCTGATTAACGTGAATCTTATCATTAGTCTTCTCCACTAGATGTCACCCTTTTATTTACCTTGCGCGATGTTACAACGGAAAGTCTGTCATTCATTCAGTGCTTATGGCGGAGATACTGTTGACAAGAACAAAGAACAAAGCAATATGCGTGATTTGCAATGCTCAGGTGAAATGCTATAGTAAGTTACAAATCTGTGGAAGCATTTGACATCATGCACAAGTGCCATGATTTCTGCAATGAAGGAATGGCGGATGGCACGACACACTGTTTTGTTTACTACACACATACTAAAGCACAGATGACGCTTGCGGTGATTTCAGCCTCTGCAGTCCCACTATGATATACACACACTAATATCGTCTCCAGTTGCTCTGAGAGTCACTTCATTAGCATTTTACCGTTTAATTTGAGAAAACTACCTTCATATCACATACACAGCAGCTGCAAGTTCTTCACGACAACCCATCAAAATAAAAGTTCGGTTTAACGTGAAGCTGAGAGTGAAATATATTGTATATTATATTGTGCAGTCTTGAGACTCAATGTAACAACAATACTACTACTACTAATAATAATAATAATAATAAATATTAATAAAACTTTATTTTTAAAGGAATAATCACATTTGTTTTCTTTTAAATTTTTACAGTAAACTTCTGTTCTGCAGCATTGTTTAAAAAAAATAGGACCCTATACAAAAAAGGTTTAAAGGGGTCATATGACGTTGCTAAAAAGAACTTTATTTTGTGTATTTGGTGTAATGCAATGTGTTTAAGCGGTTTAAGGTTAAAAAAACACATTATTTTCCACATACTGTACATTATTGTTGCTCCTCTATGCCCCGCCTTTCTGAAACGTGTAGATTTTTACAAAGCTCATCGTTCTGAAAAGCGAGGTGTATCCAGTGCGTTGTGATTAGCCGAATACCTGAAGCGTGTGACGGAAATGTTACGCACCTTGCCATACTGTGATGCCGTGTCCCGGCTTGACGATACAAAACCAATAAAACCCATTACGAACGAGGCATTTGTTGCATCCAGTGGGGACATAATTACGGATTATAATGACTTATACTGTCTTTTTACGTGTTGCGTATCGCGCCGCATAAACATAAAACCATGTCTGCATTTGTGATCGGAGAAACGACAAGCGCTACTCTACACTGCTCAAAACTCGCGTTTGAATCGTCAGTGGAAAATTCTTTAAATATGAAAACGTACTTACAGGCTGTGAGTCAGAAGCGCCAGACTGTCCTTGCAAAGTTGGAATTGCCCCACTTTATAGAAACAACCTTTGTGCGCAGCATTGTAGGCTACTCTCCCAGGTACAGGAAGCAGTCCTCCGTAAAATGTGCTGCACACATCTGAATATTTGGGTTGAACTGTTCTGGAACAGTGTTGTAAATACAACTTAACCACTGATTTCCACTTGGTGAAGGCCAAACAAAGTAGTTTCGCTTTCACAAC